ATTATCTGAACGTGCTCCTCCCGAACTTTGTCAATAAAACATCATATCTGAGATACTGTCTTCTCTATCTTACCAGATTGCAAGAAAACATCTAGCTGACCTGATCCCAATGGTGATCCGCTATATGTTGCTCCAGGAAGCAGCTTTGGAGCTGCAAAGGAGCATGTTGCAGTTGCTGCATGACATAGACGGTGAGGACAACCAGCTCAAAGAAGACTTTGACATTGGCCAAAAGCGGGAGATCTTACTAAGTCGCCACAAACGTCTGATGAAAGCACGCATCCTCTGCTGCTGAGGGGATGATATACTACAGTGAGCCTGGAAAATATATTTCCACTGCACACAGCCCAAAGAGGAGGAAGTCTGCACTTGTTGATCTCCTTGGGCAGACGTTCAACAACAGCAGTAGTACTAGTACGTCCATGCCTTCAGCTGCCTCCATAGCTGAATATGAGATGAAACGAAACCAAGAGGCTCCAACTTTACCACTGACAGATGACCTATTGGAATGGTAGAAATCTAAGGCACATGGCTACCCTCCCCTCCCCAAGCTAGCACAAAGTTTCTTGTGTGTCCCAGGGACAAGTGTATCAACAGAACGGATGTTCTCAACTGCTGGGGACATAATCAGTGCTCAGAGGAGTCTGCTCACCTCTGAGAATGTTGATCAGTTGCTGTTCTTGAAGAGAAACATGCATATGTGAGTCTCACTTTAATCTACTGGGAATGCATTATTTTGCATTAAAGATAAACCAGGTCTAAGCACTGAAATGTTTCCATTGTTTACATAAAAAGTTGGCCAAGTTGTAATATGTGCCTTAAGTTTTCAGAAGTCGATTTACAGAAAGATTTTCAGGTTACAGAAAACTCTTGTTAGAAAGCACTGCAGTCAATGTGTACATGTTTACAGAATACAAGTTAATTGTACCCCTGGGTGCTGAAATGTGATCTTATTTTGTAAGGTTTTATACCGGGTGTTATTCTTTTAGCATCACCTTTTTAGTAATGTATGCACTTCACATTTTTTTCCAGCAATAAATTGCTAGTTTGAGGGGTTTTTGTTAAATATAATTTGGACAAATTTGAAATATTGCTGCTTTGACTGATAAGTTAGAGAGATGTGACCTTTCTTTACAATACATAATTTAGTCACAAACTGTTGTCTCTCTCTGACAAATATGCATTTTTCAAGCTTATGGCTCTTTGACAGTTTGTGTATGCACTTTGCACTTATTGTACATTGTTGCCATCCTATAAAAAAAGATGTACTGTTAATAAATGAAATACATCATATGACTTTTTGACACATTTTTTTCTTCATTGACAGATATCGTGATATATCGTGGACGATTTTCTTGCAGTATATTGTCTGACACAGAATCGGTAATGTTGTGATATATCGTTATCGTAGTATTGTATTATGCGTTAACCTCTGATTCCCACCCCTAATCCTGTATCTTAAGACATTTATTCTCCCTGGCTTTTTAACATACCTTTAGCATGTTATTTTGGGTCTCTCTTTTTATAGTGTTGATTGCCTGTTGTTTTTTTATTATTTATTTTTTGCTTTTATTTCTATATTTTGTTCTTTTAATTCATTGCGATTCTTTTATCCATTGTAAAGCACTTTGGTCTACCTAGGTTGTGGTTAAATGTGTTCTATAAATAAACATTAATTGATTAATGTGCTGAAAAAGCTTCTTGTACTAAGTTTGAGTCTTGAGCAATATATTGTCGTATCTTATCAGAGTATCTGTGAGCTAGAGAACTTGTATTTCAACAAATGTCGAAAATGAAATTTCATGGTATCTTATCAGATCGGTGAGGCAGCAGAACGTTTCAACACGTTAAAAATGAAACTTCATGGCACCACAAAATTCCATAATCAACTGAATCGAATGTGTTTCTGATAGCTGTCCTCCGTCTGCAACAGACACAAATAATAATAAAAAAAAATTCAGTGGGATTCTGTATTGTTTGGACAGCAATGTTTATATCAGGATTGATCAATTACAGTACCTTTGAAAAACTTGCTAGGGAACAGAACAAGCTTTTGGAAGAATCTGCCATAAAGATGCTAAAGACCATATCCAGTTTGGTTGTTTTTTAATATTTAAAATCCCGCCCTCTCCATTACCATAGTTCACACGAAACTCACTTTGTGCACGTGGGACCTTTGTCATTCTGAAGAAGGATAAGGTCATTCTCTAGAACTGTTTCCTCAAAAGTGGAAACTTAGAATTGTCAAGAATACCAAATGTTACGATTTCCTGATTGGTCGAGAAACACAAGAGCAAAATAGAGGGTGGTGAATGGGTGTACAACAGCAAGAGACCAACACGTCTCCAGCCCCAGAATTTTCCACAACATTAACCCAAATATCTAACCTAAAATTCTAACTCCTCGTTAACCAAACTACCTAAACTAAAAGAAAACTAAAGTACAGCAAAACAAGCAAACTCCCTATAACATCAGCAGGAGAAAAATAAGTAAAATTCAAAATACAAGATTGATTGCCAATATAATCTTTAAGACATAAGGTTAAACTTATTTGGCTTGCTGTCCACTGATGAGGGTCTCAATGAAGCAGCTTCAACTCGAGCTCTGATATACCCCCACAGTAACTAAATATGAGATAGGATTACATAGGGCAAGGTAGGTACCTAAAATGGTGGAGTTAGGGGAGGTGGAGATAGGGATGCTGAAGAGAGGTGAGCAGCTACTTATATACTCTGGGCTGGCTGTTGATTGAAAGATTAGATGGGCTTGCTTCTCCCTAACTATACGTTTGGGAACTTCATAAAAATGGCCCCCACCTCCCTACAAACCTAAAAAAAAAAAAAAAAAAAAAAAAAACATATAATAAACACTTCCCCATATCCCTGCTTATCTTCATAACCAATTAAACAAACCTGTTTCCCTTAAGAAAGTTAACAATATCCTAACCTGTGCTCTGTCACCCATGCTCAACAATCCTTTTAATGTAAATTCCTGCACCCTTAATTCCCTCAAATTATTCCTCATTATCACTCTCTGTTTCTCATATCTCCTACATCTTATAATTATGTGCTCCACTGACGACTCTTCTTGGCATTCCTCACACAATTCTGTCAGGGGTTTTCCTATAATTTTCAATGATTTGTTTATAGCACCGTGCCCCAGCCTTAACCTTGTCATTACAGTTTCCTCTCTCCTGTCCCCACCACCTAACCTAGTTACTTTTACACTCTTTTGAATTTGATATACTGTAAATGTCTTCCTTTCTCCTCTCTGTCCCACCTTTCTTGCCACATTTGGATAGTTTTTTACCCAGATGATACTTTTGACCTCTGCTTTATTTATTTTAATTTGCATCTCTATTTCCCTTCTTTAAAGCCCTCTTTGCCAATTCATCCACCTGCTCATTCCCTTTCACCCTTACATGTTCTGGAACCCATAAATTGTACCTGTCCTCCCTGATTTGTTATCCTCGTAACTGACCGAGGGACTTCACATAACACATAAAGGTGGCTTTTTGAATGAAAAGACCTTAAACTCACAAGGACTGAGGGTGAATCAGAGCATATCAGCACATTTTCTTGTCTTGTTTTTACCTTAATGCAACTAACATGCCACCATTTCCACTGTGTATATTCCTAAAAAATCTGATGTTCTTCTCTTAATTCCTTTTACAACTGGCTTATCTTCATATAAAACACTCCAAATTCTATTGCTACCTCGTTGCCTACCAGACTAAAATTATCTCTGTTATATCTTTCGTTCTCCCAGGTCTCCTGCAACACTACTTTTGGGGAATGCGTTATTGACACATGTGCAATAAGTTAAGACACACTTTGGAAGAACACAAAGCTTTTGACCATTTATCATAATTGATATATTGCATTATACGGACGAGTATTGTCCATTATGCCACCTTTTCAGCTGATCTCCTCTGACCACTGTATATCACGTGCTTTGATTTATGCCATATACAGCTCACTTTCATGCAACCGTGTTCCACTGCCACTCGCCCACACATATAACATGCTGTATTATGTAGTTTAGATGATAAAAGTAATCTTATAGTTAAGAGATACCTCTAGTTTTAATAATTTTAAAAGGCCATTGAAGTTTGGGCAAAAACACCGGGCAATGATGTGTTTTCCTGTATTTTTTACTTTTTCCACAGCGCTGAATATGGTGATATGGCTAACATATGGTGATTGTAAAACACAGAACACATATGATTTGATGGTGAAATATGGGCAATGAATGTCTGGAGACATGGAGGTTAGAAATGTTGTAAAATGTCTGAACTGATTTTTTTTATCAACTTCAATATGCTTAGAGTTCACGTGGTGTTACGGCAGCTTTAAAATGGATTTTGTTCATCATTTTAAGGCAGTAAGTTCATGATCTTTACTGGGGTCACAAAAGGCACAGAATCCCAGCACTCTCAGAAAAGTAGTACACAAACTGTCACTGGGATGGCACCCTTTCAAAAGGTAAACTTTTGTACCTAATTCCTTATTAAAATGCATATTAGTACCTAAATGATACATATAGAAGCTTTTAGGGTAGCCTACTGTCCAGTAACAGCTTTTGCACTATTTCTTCTGAGTGTGATCAATGACCCTATAGCAATTTCACAGTATTAATACTGTAGAATAAGAGTAAATTGCTGGGGACTCTGCTGCCAGTATCTTACCTTTATTTTTAATATTTTTTTTGCAGTGATGCATAGTGCACCCGTATTGTAAAGTGTTAGCAAGAATAAGACAGGATCGCTATGTAATTATCTATTTAAAACAGGATCTGCTGGTATGCAGACTTACTTGGTAATTTTTTTTTGTTCTGCCCGTATGATGAGTTCATCTTACCAAAGTATAAAACCGCTATGGGATTCACTTTGAAACTGCATCACTTTGAGACATCCTATCGAAGAGTGCACAAACCGACAGCAGCTGTTAAATCGACGTGAAGTATTTTCTTTATTATTTTGACATTTGAGCATTGTTAAAGATAGAGAAAATGAGCTATACGTTCAGTCAGCAATATGAGGAAAAGATCCGCCCTTGCATCGACACCATCGACAATTTACGGTCTTTGGGAGTCGAAAAGGACCTGGCGTTGCCTGCCATCGTCGTCATTGGAGACCAAAGCTCAGGAAAGAGTTCTATTCTAGAGGCGCTGTCAGGAGTAGCGTTACCCAGGGGTAGTGGTAAGGAGAACACATAAAGAAATATTAAATAAACATATATATAAAACTAAAACATAGATACATATGTAAAATATAAATGTTATTTAATGACTACAGCCAACAAATGCTATGGCACAGTGATTGTATATTTTGCCATGATATTGAATGATCAATATGGAATTTGCATGCTAAAAATATTTCTGAATTCAGATTTGCATTCTAGCTAGCATATACACTTACTATTTCTGCCATAGAAAGATATGATAAAAATAGAACGAGTAGTAGGCCTACACTAGTATGCAGTTCTGAATTCAGCATATGTCTGGCATTCACTCTTTCGTGTTTTGAACAGGAATTGTTACACGATGCCCTCTTGAGCTCAAGATGATAAGAACTAAAGGCGAGGACAAATGGCATGGGAGAATCAGTTACAAGAACTATGAGAAAGACATTGATGACCCAGCAGAAGTGGAGAAAAAGATTTGCGAAGGTAGAAAATGCATAGAATGTATCCTGAGGTCTCTCTAAGACAGCATTTCTTAATGTCTTATATCTAATGTAGCAAATTAGCTCAAAAGGAAATATGTATAATTAATTATAACGGGTTATAATTAATTATGAATATTTAAACCAGCTTTCTAGATGAATTAACATTACAATCGATTGATCTGTTTGTCCACCAAACAGACAGCACAATCATATAAACTCTAAGAAAAAGAATTATCCTGCATGGCCAAGAAGGATAACTTTCATACTGTACTAACAGTACAAAATACATATGAACATTAATCGCTAAAGTGACTTCGATTTGTGAGACGGAAACCAATAATCAATCCTGTGTATAAAGGGTTTAAAGCAACACTATGTAACATTTTTTACCTTAAAAAATAATGTTTACAAAATCTTATCAGTGGTTCATCAAGTCAAAACAGGGTGAAAGGCACTTCTGCCATAGCCTGACGGGGTCTGTATCGCTTCTACTGGCACTATGGAACTTCGGGGTTCGGGTAGTAACCCGAGCACAAAAAGTACTACAAAATTCGACTGCTTTACGTCAAGCCTTACAATAGTCATTTTTCTTCGTTTCTGATGTCGCAATACATCTAGGCCTACTTTCATGAAATCATGCAACATACTCTACCTTGTCTGTGGACATCGTTCATTCTAAAGCCGGTGCTGGATAAACAGCGAGCGTGCGTGCCACAGTAGGCTACATTATTTACGACAGCGATAATGGACAATTTCCTTTCCAACCAGTAGGGCGACCGAAGAGGAAAAGTTCCATTGTGTTGCTTTAACTAATGGAACTATGTGGGGAAACTAACTACACTAAGCAAAACATATATATTCAGAATGGAGAAAAGTAAAGAAAAAGAGATCAAAGAACGGCAAGGTTTACAATCGGTCAACCAAGAACCATCAGAGAATCAAAATCACCAAGGGGTCAAAACTTAAAGATGCATCGTAACCCTCATCCTTCCCTCGCACTTTGTAACTTTCCCTCATTGGTCAAAATGACACAAAGCCCTAAAATTATACTTTTTTTTTTTTTCCCAGAAAGCTTGTTTTATTTCTGTTTGATAATATTTTTTCTAATATTCTTGGTGAGCTCGTTAGGAGTGAGCTTGAAGATTTCGAGGAGTTTTTCAGGAGAACAGATGGTCCGCAGGGAAATAAAAAAAAGTAACTTGAAGGTATTGGTATTGTGGCAACTAGTGAGGAGTCATCAATCTCACTGGAATGCCTTTGAAACTCGAGGAGAGAGTCGAGGCCTCTGCTGGTAAGTGCCATCAAGGAAGGTGATACCGATCTTCCAGAGCACATTATCCATAAACTGTTAGGCACAAGGTTTTATGATGCCTAAAACGCATCTTGATTGCACCCAAACACAACACTAATTATGTTTGTAGCCCAGGATGAGATGGCTGGAGTAGGTGTTGGCATTAGTGAAGAACTCATCAGTCTGCAGATCACCTCTGCCAATGTTCCTGACCTCACTCTCATTGACCTCCCTGGGATTGCACGAGTCGCAGTCAAAGGTCAACCTGAGGATATTGGAGAAACAGTAAATTTAACTTTCTTATAATGGTTGCAATAAAGACCTTTTTTTAAATGCCAAAATTAGGCTTTTTTACATTTGTCATATTTTTCTTATGATATTTTGTTGCAAAGATCATTGTGATGTCATGGTCTGTTTAAAGGCAAAGACACATTAATCACATGCATTTCCAGATTAAGAGACTGATCAGGAAGTTTGTTGCAAAGCAAGAAACAATCAACCTGGTTGTTGTGCCATGCAATGTTGACATCGCGACCACAGAAGCATTGCAGATGGCTCAGGAGGAGGACCCTGAGGGCGAAAGAACTTTAGGTGTGCATTTCTCGTTGCAATGATATACTTCAAACTGAATCAGACTCGGTATAACTATTGTTTGTTTCCTACAGGCATCTTAACAAAGCCGGATCTGGTGGATAAGGGCACTGAAGGGACAGTGGTAGACATTGTGCACAATGAGGTCATTCACCTTACTAAAGGCTACATGATTGTAAAGTGCAGGGGACAATGGGATATTTTCGATCAGGTCACTCTTAATGAGTCCATAGTAAAAGAGAATGCCTTCTTCAAAGACCATCCTCATTTCAGGTAAATATATGGTTAAATGTTGTTATTTATTGAGATTCAAGCTGAAATGGTTTATCACAAAATTGGATTGTTGAGAAAGAAAACACAAGTTGTATCAATGCATATCTCATATTATTAAATTCAGAAATCATGTAAAATACCAATAAATTAAATGACAAACATTATAAACACTATAAATATGTATTTTAGTTCCCCTCACTCCATAACAAAACCTTTAAATTTACCGTTATTCAGAACAGAACAGGAATGAAAATTATAGGTATAAAACAAACATAAATTATAGTGGCATTTATTATAAACAACATTATAAATGGCAAGCCAAATTTATTTAAAGCAAAACTTGAACTACTAGCTATGTTTTGTCAGACAATAATAGCGTTATATAAATAACTTTGGAATAGGCCTATAAGTCGCAGGACATTTCAGATGATAAAATACAGTGACTTATTTTGGGGAAAAAACTGTAGTGAGAACTTTTATGTAAGCCCACGAAGTGCACATGCAAATTAGTACCCATTAATGGGATTTTAGAAAATTAGTGGTGTTATGTTCAGTTAAAGCTCACTGTAACTGAACATTTGATTTGCTTCTTCTCCCAGCAAACTCTATGAAGAAGGTTTTGCAACTATTCCTAAGTTGGCTGAGAAACTAACAATTGAGTTGGTTCATCACATTCAGGTGAAATTGTTTTTTGTTTTGTTTTTTTACAAAAGAGACCTATAGCATTTTTAGACTTATAAACATTCTGTATCTTATTTTCATATGACTAATCTTCTATATAGAAATCATTGCCTAGTTTAGAAAAGCAAATCGATGAGAAGCTCGCTGAAACACAGACGGAACTGCAGAAATATTGCAACGGACCCCCATCAGACCCTGCAGAAAGACTGAAGTTTCTTAGTGATGTGAGTACAGCATTAAAATCTACACAGTACCAAAGTATGAATATTTAGTCATATTGATATCAGTGAGTTACTGACATCTTTTACATTTCATCTCTGAATTTAGAAACTTACAGATTTCACACGTGATACCCTTAACCTGACCAATGGAGAAGCGGTTAAATGTGCACCAGATCTACTGATTTTTCCAGAACTCCGTGAAGAATTTGCAAATTGGAATGGCTTCTTGGTTGACTCTGGAAAATCATGTAAGTGAAGCATATAGTTGGTACCTCCTAAGTGTACTGTTTATTTTTGTATGTTTTTTTTTTAACTTAATCTAAGTAAATTTTGCTCTGATAACCGCAAGACCACGGTGAATGCTGTGAGTGTGTGTTAGAATTCAGGAACAGTGAGAGAACATTGTGCTTGGTGCGTTTTTGTCTTCAGCGAACTGTCAGGCTAATGCATACGCATGAGGTAATTTGGCAGATAGGCTGTCTTTTGTGGTTATTTAAACGCATTTGACTACATGAACGTTTACACACAATCGGGTTGAATGCTTTTTTGACTACCTCTGAAAGTGGTCGAAAGTGGACAGCTCAAAACGTTTTAGCCCCCGTTTATTCAACATTATTATAAACATTATTGTCAAACGCTGTTTGAGTTGAAGCACCCTTGACAGATCTTTGAAAAATATATTCTGTGGTAATGTAAACGTGAGAGCATCTTCTGACATCATTTATAAATCCTTTGCAGCCATAAATGAGATTAAGGACGAAGTTTATACATATGAAGCCAAATATCGGGGAAGAGAGCTTCCAGGATTCATCAATTACAGTACCTTTGAAAATACTGTTGGTGAACAGATCAAGCTGTTGGAAGAACCTACCTTAATGATGCTGAAGACCATCTCCGGTTTGTGTTTTTTTTTTCAATAATATTTTTAAATCCCACCCACTCCATTTTTACCGTTTTTAATAATTTAATAATGTGTTGAATTTTTTCATATGGAATTCACTTTGTGCACAGATCCTTTGCTATTCTAAAGATAGATAGGGCCATTTTCTAGAACGGTTGTTTTAAAGGTGGAATCTTTGAATAAGGGTGAAATTGTCAAGAATACCAAGAACCATCTATATCCATTTTAGCCACACTGAACATTCAGGTTTATGTAGTGCATTTGTAGATACAGAGTTTTGCTGCCAAGTGAATAAATATCAAAGAGAGACAACTCATGAACAACTCCTTTGGTCCTATAGAATAAGGCATGTATAACCTTAGATTGCTGAAAGGTAGATTGTTATCTCGCTTTGGATAAAGGTAGCTTAGTACAGTACAGTTCTCTTACGAGAGGTTCTCTCGTATTGCGTAAGCTAGCTATCTGCGCTCTCTGCCTGCATGGGCCAGGACTAAGCCGCACTCGCCCTCGGGTCCGGGGGCTGCGTGCTGTGCGAAGAGCTTCCGTTGTCGACCCTGCGGGCTCGACTCGAGGCTTTCAACGTGCAAGCTGAGACTCCACCCCCCGTGGCGCCGCGCAAGAAGAAGCGCCGTGCACAGCGGATGCCGGAGATCGTCGCGGCTTTGAAGCACTCGCCGGTCAGGAACCCTCGAGTGTCTCTCTCGCCTTCCCCGCCCCCCCCTTCCCGACGCGCAGCTGCCGGCTTCGGCCTTCACTGCCGTTGCATCAGGGGACGAGGCCTGTGAGGAGTGAGGACTGGTCTCTATACTCTTCTTCCCCGTCTGTCCAGGAGTCCGGGAGGACTCGTGCCGGAGTGGACGCGGAGCTGGTGCGCCTCCTTACGAAGGCCGTCGACCGCGTTAAGGATTTACATTGCGATCTCCGCCCCTTTCAGGCTTACGGAGCATCTTTTCGTTTCGTTCGGTGGCCGCACTAAGGGTCTCGCCACCTCGAAACAGAGCATGTCCAGATGGATAGTGGACGCTATTGCTGCGGCTTATGCGTCAAAAAGTCTGCAATGCCCTTTGGGCATCAGGGCGCATTCCACTAGGGGCGTGGCCTCGTCGTGGGCATGGTCCAGCGGGATTTCCATTCATGACATTTGTACGGCGGCAGGCTGGGCCTCCCCGTCGACATTTGTAAGGTTTTATAACCTTGAAGTCCCCGCCCTGCAGGCTAGACTGGCGGTTTGATAATGTTTATGTTCTGCCCGCTTGTCAGCGCGCAGACTAAATATCACGTCATTAAAGCTTTCCTGGTTGAGCTGCACTGTTATGGGCCGTTATGTCAGACCGGCTGCGCTGCTCTGCATTTCCCATTGAGTGCTTGTATACTGGTGTCGGCCCGCTATGCTGGCCGCCTAATTTTTCCACTTATCTTTGTTCTCCGGCACGGCTGGGGACTCATGGAGTGGATGCTGGCGCACACGGCGTTGACAAGGGGTTCCCGTAGCGTAAGCTAGCTTACGCAAAACGAGAGAACCTCTCGTAAGAGAACGATAGTTGGTTACTAACTAGGGTTGGGTATCGGTTGGGTTTTATCCGATACCAGTACCTACTCGGTATTTTTTAAACGGTTCTGGTGCCTAAACGGTTCTTGAAACGGTACTTAAGAAAACGAAACCGCACACACTTTATCAAAAAATAATACCCTTTTAGTTACAGGGCCAAACTGGACACAATATTAACTTAAATCTTTAAACAATATAAATACAAATAATAATAAAACCAATATAAAACAAAAATTCACATTTACATAATATCAAATAAAACAATGTTGTATCAAACAATGTAATACTGGAGATTAATAGAGATTACTAGCAGGCAGAGCTGCCAACTCTCACGCATTGACCGTGAGACTCACGCAATTGACCCTTTTCACATGCTCTCACGCACGCCACACATCCATTTTCTCACGCAGAGAAAAATCGCGGACAAAGAGGACACTGACAAAGGTTACTTTTGATATGGAACAAATCCACAGCTGTCAGATTCTGTCAATATTTTTACGAGATTCACACAATAAATAATGTTTTGGCTCTTTGAAATGTGACAGATCGCTGTAGCGCGTCAGTTCAAACGGCACGTGATACAGCAGCCTACAAATACAAATCCACTGCTTCTTAGCTACGCAGCGTTGAGTGAACCTATGAAAGAGAACATCTCTGGTTACTGGTGTAACCTATGTTCTCTCAATAGGGAACGAGACGCTGCCAAGCTCCTCGTGCTGCCGACCAGCTTCCTTTTTCGGCAAAGAAATCTGAGGAGCAAATGGCGCGCGCGCGCCAACATAATATGACGACGTAAGTGCGTCGAGGCGGCGCCCGCGCCATCAGCCAATGTATTGGCTTGATTCTATATGGATTCAGACTATCGGCACACCCAGAGGGCGTTCTGACGCGTAATTTTACACGTGAAATGCAGCCAAACCTTGCGAGCAAGAGCGCGCATGCGAGACAGAAGAGACTGTGCGTGTGTGTGCCTAATTAAGTCAGGCACCGAAATCAGGCACCGAAATTGTCGTTCTTATTCGGTCTGGTTACTACCGTTTACGTCGGAACCGGTTCCCTATTGGCACCGAGTTTCGGTACCCAACCCTATTACTAACGTAACCTCGGTTCTCTCTACAAAAGGGAACGAGTATTGCGTAACCTGCCGTGTTTGCGCCACGTTCGACTTTCGCTTCAGTCAACGAAAAACCAGTGAAGCAGCCTCCGAGCCGTTCTTTTATACGCTAAGCCACGCCCATTTCGGCGGGCTCTGACGCGTGGAGGGCGCACGCGCCCTCATTGGGCATGACGTCACGCCAGGCTTACTGGTAGGCTGCAGCAGTTGCCGCAGGGCAGCCAATGAGCACGCTAGACAGCCTGCTCAAGGTCTGCTAGCTGCTGCACTGCGTTGACAATAAATACAAAATTAAGGATAATTTTTTGGCTTCATATCTCGAGAAAAGATGACTTTACCCGTAACGTAAGCTAGCTTACGCAATACTCGTTCCCTCTTCTAGAGAGAACCGAGGTTACGTTAGTAACCGAGTATCGTTTCTTATGACACCTGGATACACTGGCAGTGTTGGGTGTAACTAATTACTAAATAATGAATTACTGAAATTGAATTTTCACTTCAAAAAGAAAAGTAAGAGATTCCTCATTTATTTTCTGTAATTGCATTAAATACTGTATAGACTATAGAACAATTCTATAACAATTTACAGTGGATTTAACATAAAAATTTAAAGTCTAATTTTAAAATGCATGTTGTTTTATGTAACCTTCTCCCTTTAAATACTTTGGTGAGAACAATTTATGCAATTTTATATCATTTTTTATAAAAGAATTAAAAGAGCAGTTTCATGTCTGGAATTTAGAAAATTATTAGTAATAATGAAACTTCTTAGAGAGAGTAATTAGTACAGTTATCTAATTACACGGTTGCAAATGTAATTAGCTAGTAATTAATTCCTTTTTTGAATAACGTACCAACACTGTTCACTGAATAATTGAGCTGGCAAGATGAACTTTTGCTAAAGAAGTATTAACGCTGTGTTTATGTTTACATAGATGTTGTTTCAAAGAAGTTCATCAAACTGGCCCAGTACAGCTTCAGTGGCTTCCCTAATCTTCTGAAAGTAGCAAAGGTAGGTATTTTTTGCTAATGATTCTGGTAATACATGAATTCAAAGTGTTCATATCAAACTACTTTCACTTGGCTTTCTCAAACTTTCAAGTTCAGAGTTTGACAAATTGATTATAGTAGATAATGCTATTAAATTTCATACAAATAAATCACATTACTCTGCATTTAAATCATCAGATTTAAAAGATTTTTTGTTGTTGTTTTATCATTTATTTTTTAATACTTTCTAAGACTAAGATCGAAGCCATCAAACAGGATAAAGAATCCCTAGCAGAATCCATGCTGAGGACCCAATTCAAGATGGAGCTCATTGTTTACAGTCAAGATGGCACATACAGCTGGAGCCTGAGAGATGCAAAGGAAAAGCTGGAAGAGGATGAAGAAACTAAAGAAATGGTTAATTGCAGCAGTGTAGGCTTTAGTACAGACAATCATGCCACATTGCATGAGATGAAGTTGCACCTTGAGGCCTACTATACGGTAATTGTGCTAACTAAAGCTTTCTGTGCTGTCAGCTCAATTTGCAATGTATATATGATGCTCTTATCTTTCTTAGATTGCAAGCAAGCGTCTAGCCGACCAGATCCCAATGGTGATCCGCTATATGTTGCTCCAGGAAGCAGCTTTGGAGCTGCAAAGGAGCATGTTGCAGTTGCTGCATGATAAAGATGGTGTGGACAACCTGCTTAAAGAAGACTTTGACATTGGCCAAAAGCGGGAGAGCTTACTGAGTCGCCAGAAACGTCTGAAGAAAGCACGCAGCCTCTTGGTTACCTATTAGAATTCACTTCATATAGCTGGTTCCAACAATTTTGATGCAACAAATAATAATAATAATAAAATCTACTCTCAATAGGGCATAGCTTGAAATATTCAACATGGGGAACAAACATGTAAACTTGCATGATGTTTTTGTTGTTTTATTTTGGACATTGCAATTGAGCTTTTTGTTAAGAAACACGAAGGATCTAAGAATTATTTGCAGCAACCAACCATACATTTGTGTTGTTTTATTTCCTTTATTATTCATTCATCTATAATCATTTTAATCAATTTATTATTCCATTTAATCATATACTCATTACACCAATTCATTCATCAGTTATTTTATATTATATTATTATGAGTCCTTATTGAAGAAAAGTGAGGTATCTAAGGATTTTATTGTAGCAACCTGCATGTGTGCAGCTTCAAGAGAGCAACCATATATTCGTCTGTTTTATTTCCTTTAATATTCATTCATCATTTTATTATTCTATTTAATCATGTAATCATTTTTATTCATCATTTTATTATTCCATTTAATCATGTAACCATTTATATACTCATTACACTGATCAGTTATTTTATACTATTTTTCCATTACTGTTTAACCGTAGTCTTATGTTGTGAGCTGTGTTGTCTTCGCGAGTTAAAGACAAGAGAATGTCTCTTTCACGGTTTTTAACATCACAATGTTGTGAAGCAGACTCTCCATTGCTACTGATTGTATAATAACACTTATTGCATTTGTGCTGGTCAGATTAAGTTTTACTGAGCATTGAAACAGACGCAATTAAGATTATTAAATAAACTTTGCTCATTTTACCATCACTTCATCTCCTGCTTTCAGCATTTCCCAGGCTTCATCGGTCTGCCTCTTGGGCTCATTGAAGACTGTTAATACAGTTTTGAGTCATTGACAAAATGCTATGCATTTATGTCTGTCATTTAATTTCAATAAAATTTTGTTTTAGATTGTTGTCCTCTGTTTGAAATGGACGCAAATCATAAATGATTGAGAAGTTTAATTTAATTAACCAAGGTTAATTCTGCGCTCAAAACTGGATTAGCTGATTACAAAACAGAAAAAAAAGTTCTTCAGACGCACAAAGTCACACTACATCTCTCCTTTATTAGTGACTTAATAAACTACAGTCTTCTTTCATTACTATGAATGAAACTTAAACCTAAATGACTGGACCACTACATTCCTTCTCTGGAGAACAACTAAACTATAGGCAAATGATAACAGGGGGCGGTGCGGCACATACCATTGTACAGCAATAACGATTATGCTCATTTTCTCTGTTGTGATTTGCACCTTACACAGGAAGGCATTTTTAACCACAGCATGGTTAAATAATACAACTAAATAGCTACAATAAAAAGATGCTTGATAGCATAAACATTCATTACATATTTACATTTGTACAATGTTTGTCAAACAAAGACAGATAGGACAAATATCTCTGTGCCAAAAAGCAAGCTATTGGAAGAAGCCAGACACTACTTGTCTGTGTGGGATTTGAGCTTCCTCTCCCAAAGTTTCTGATGGTCTGAGAATCCCTGCTTTCCTTTGTTGAAGGAATTGGGTCCAGCTGATGTGGGCGTTTCTCTGAAAATCAAAAGGTTGTCAACAGTACTGTATTATACAGTACAGTACTATAACTTACAATTAAAATTCAAAGTTAAATTGAATTAAAATTAAATCCAACCTGCCAATATTCTTCATCCTCATCTTTGCTTCAGGTGGCATTTCTTCAGGCTCGCTCTGAAACATAAGATTAAAAAAAAAAGGTTACGAAACTGGTATTTTAACATAGTGCATTCAAAATTATTAGGTAAATCGATATTCAAATCATATTCTTTTGCATTTGGCCAATTCCAAACCACATCAATCTCAACTTATATATATCATATATAATCATGTATAAGTGATATAATTGTTAACGAGGGATGGAAGTGAAAAACTCCTTATATTCAGATGTGCATAATTAATAACGGGTTCTTTTACAGGTAAAAAGGGCCACAAAAAAAAAAAAAAAAAAAGAGATTTAACTCACAGTGAAAAGTCAAAAATTATTAAATACCTATGAGAAGGATGCAATACTACAGAAAATTCACAATTAAGACAAGACCATTGGACAGCAAATGCTCATTGGGACAGCAGGGTCACAAAAACAGGTTGGGAAGAAAATATATTAACTGCAAAAACTTTTATATACAAACTAAATCATATACAAAATTAATAGTTAAGATTGATGCGGTTTGGAATTGGTCAAATTTGCTAAAAAAAAAAAGATGATCTATGAATATCTAACATGTCTAATAATTATGCACGCACTGTATTATATTAAAATTAAACATTAGTACTTTGTCAATACGGTAAATATGTAAGAAACAAATGTAACAAGCACAGCACATAATCAATTATTACATGACTTCACACATACAGCATTATTATATTAATGAATGACACATACATCATCATCCTCGTTAAAAACAGATGCAAGTCCAGCTTTCTTGGCAGGTAAGGCAGGTGCGGGTTCTTTAGGTTTCTAAAATAAGAGGAACAAAACACCATTTTTTAAATGTTAAAAATTAAACTCAAAGAAGCATTATTTGGTTAAAAAAAATCAATATAGATGTATGTACGCAGAACAACATAGACATACACTTGCTCCAAGCTTGATAGAGATGGACGTAGGCTTCTTCGCAGTCATGCTAAACCCCGATTTAAACATTTTAGGGGGGGCTGGCTTGCTTTTAGCCTCATCTTCTGGATCGATCTCATGAGCAGGCCGCTTTCGCAGACTGTCCCCTGATGCCGTGCTGGAAGAGACAGTCTTAGTTTTCACACTGCTTCCCTTCTCTTCTGGTCCTGCTGGAGGCGAAACAACTTACCAAGGTGAGCGACTGTTGCCTTGGAGACCAAAGGTGAGCTAGTTACCTGAAAGATGAGGGACGCCAGGAGGACCTGCTCAGAGAGAAGCTGTTGAGCCTAAAATCTAATTGATTAGCTTGATTCATTTGATTAGAACTAATTGTCAGATACAACAGTAATACCAAATCAAATGGAACTGGCTGCTTTCAGCAAAACACTGGAATTTGAAGTTAAAATGTGCTATTGTCTAGTTACAAACATTACAATATCGCAGAACCATGGTACAGATATGGTAATAATTCCTATGGTATTACTGTCTGATGATTCCATATGTGTAACATGGTTCTGTCACAGTAATGTTTGTAACTGTAGACAATAGCACATTTAAACACTTCAACCATACTATGTCCCATATGAATTATTACCATATGATACCACCTATAGTATTTACATGATACTTTATGGTAGAATCACTACACCATATAATTACCATAGGGGTCATGGTAATAATTTATTTGAGTACCATGGTATATGAATTTTAGTAACTTATTTATGTACTTACCGTCTTATACTATCATTGAGGTATTCTTAGAAATGCATTTACGTAACGTTACATATAGCTATGGTAATACAATGGCGTAGTGATTCTATCATAGAGTACCGTGTAAATACCATAGGTTGTATGGTAATAATAATCCATATGGTGTAAATATCAAAGTACTATGGCAGAATCATGGAACAGATATGATATCATCAAACACAGTAATACCATAGTACTTTGATATTTACCATATGGATTATTACCATACAACCTATGGTATTTACATGGTACTCTATGATAGAATCACTACGCCATTTTATTACCATATATGTAACGTTACGTAAATGCATTTCTAAGAATACCTCAATGACAGTATAAGACGGTAAATACATAAATAACAAGTTACTAAAATTCATGTACCATGGTACTCAAATGAACTTCCACGAATGAATTATGGTAAGTTACAAATCCAAAAACTCATGGTACTTATTTTGAGCTTGTGTTTGTGAATGGATCAAAGATCCACCGATCAAAATTCAGCTGGGCAAAATGCAACATTCTTATGCATTTGGTGTTGTTATGGTACATTAGATAGTAGTGTTAAATATTACGCATCTGAAACCACAGCACGGAACAGAAAACAGCTCGTTACCAGCTAACTTAGCTAGCTTGCTCAATTTAGTTAACAAAAAAGTCCAAATCTATGGCTATAACTTTATTTTTTAACTACATTCAAAAATACAAGTACTACAAATATTCCCGAAGACTTTTAAGAGTCAATTAATTGCAAAATTAAAACAGTTTTGACAGTTTCACCTCCTTCTTTAGAGGGGCCTTCGCTGCAGCACTTCACATTCGCCATCGTATGAATCTGCTTTGAGCAAGTACGGCTCCCGGATAGGACAAAATACCTCTGCAGTCGCAACAAGAAAATAAAAAAACCCTCCTTTGTACTGCTCCTGCTCTTCCACTGATAAACATCGCCATCTAGCGTACAGAGTGAGCCAACGACCCCGTATAATAATCGATACGGGGTATATGACCAAATCCTGGAAATGAAGTGACAGAAGCACATGTGCCAAGTGAGAAATGTTACCATATTCATATTCCATGGTATTTAGATAATATTCAAGGTAATTCATAGAAACTATAGAGTTACCATGGATGGTATCATGTCCAAAATACCTTGCTTTTGGCCTACTTTTTTAATGACTCTTTGAACTATCTGTCTGAGAACTAACTCTGACTGCTGCTTTTAAAAAAAAAATATATATATATATATATATATATATATATATATATATATATATATATATATATGTATATATATATATATATATATATATATATATATATATATATATATATATATATATTTCTGTAGTGTTCTATTAAATATGGATAACAACGGCACTGTAAACATCATTAAAACAAAAATATTATATACTGTGTATAGGCAGTCTAAATTTCTTTAAAGATTTTTGCTCAGCATTTTGCATGTGGCTATTATTAGTGTTGTCAAGTTTTATTTATTTATTTTTCCTGTCATCAATCAAATATTTCCATATTAAAGTAGATCATTTGTATTCCATTTTATATCTTTACTAAATGTTTTCTAAGAGAAAACATTTTTTTTGACTTTGTTTCCAATGAAAAGTTTGCCTAGGCCTATAAGTTGACATGTTAAGGCCAAGTATGATAACCCATACTCGGAATTGTCCTCTGCATTTAACCCATCCAAGTTTGTGCACACACATTAGGAGCAGAGTAGTGAATAGTGAACACACACACACACACACACTGCAAACCGTGACACAGTTGCTCAAGGGCACCTCAGTCATTTCCTACCGGTACTGGAATCGAACCAGCAACCTTTGGGTTACCAGTCTGACTCGATAACCATTAGCTGCCCCTAGTAATTAAATACATTTTGGTAACAGTATAGGCTTCATTACCTTCAACTAACAAATTTGTTACAATATTTATTCATCTTTGTTAAAGTTAGGCCTACTGCTGTTCATTGTTAATTTATGTTAAGGTCCATTAAATAATATTAACAGACACAGCTTTTGTTGTTAATTATGTAGGCCTATTAGTAAATGCTGAAATTAACATTAACTAAGATTAGGCCTAATATTGCTTTGGAAGTATTTTTCATTGTTTGTTCATATTAACTAATAGTAAACTAATTTTAACAAATGGAACCTTATTGTAAAGTCTAAATATGTTTTCTTAGTTTCAAGTTTCAAGTTTGTTTTTATTTATATAGCACATTTAAAACCAGCAAACATGGCTGACCAAAGTGCTGACCAAAACACAAGATAAAGCGACAAGGGCAAACCACACATTCATGACAGAAGCTCACAATGAATTAAAAGCTAAAGAAAAAGAGAAGATTTAAAAACAGCCGATCTGATGTAAACCGGAAGGCTGTTCCACAGCCCAGGGCCGGCAATAGCAAAGGCTCTCCTCTATGCTTTAATCGTGATCTGGGGACAGATTGAAGTCTCAAATCACCAGACCTCAGATTCCGTGTGGGATTGGACAGAGTGGCTCAGACAAATAGCTCGGTGCCAGATTATTTAATGATTTAAAACAAAGGGAAGAATTTTAAACTCAATTCTAAAATGCACAGGTAGCCAATGCAGCGATTTCAAAACTGGAGAAATGTGATCAAATTTACGTTTTCTTTTGGGGAACTTTGCAGCAGCATTTTGTACTAATTGGAGACGAGCAATAGAGTAGTTGGACATGCCAGTAAAGAGAGTTGCAATAATCCAAACGAGATTTAATGAGCGCATGGATAGCAATCTCTAAGGTTTTCTCAGAGAGAGAGGATTTAATCTTAGAGAGAAGACGTAGCTGGAAAAAACAAGAACTAATCATCGCATTTATTTGTTTTTCAAATTTGAGGTTCTGATCCCAGAAAACACCTAAGTTCCTAATACAGGATGAAGTAAAAGGAGCAAGGTAATCCGGGTCAATTTTACTCTTAAAGTTTTCACGGGGGCCAAAGACTATAACCTCGGTTTTAGATTATTCAGAAATAAGACATTTTGAGAAAACCACATTTTCACTTCATGCAAAAAGATATTTCAGAGCAGCATGTTTGTTGCGTTTCAGGGGTAAATAAATGTGGGAATCATCTGCATAGCAGTGAAATGATGCATGCTTTCTGAAAATGGAGCCCAGATGAAGTAAATACATGAGGGAAACACTAATATGAGCATGCAGCTTAGATACAGTTTGATAAAAGTCACCTGAAATATTGAATTTCTCTGAGAACCATGTAGATATTTCATATGAAAACAGGCATTAAAAACCATTACCATACGTTTTGGCTTTTGGATGGGACCTTGTTGCTTATGAATACCGAGACTTGAATTCTCTATATAGCTTCATTTCCTCTATGTGTTGCTTTTCCTTGCACAGTGTTGAGGAAAGTAATGTGTTGTGTTACTTTTTCTCTTCTCTTCTTGGCTGGGCTTTAATTGTTTCTTAATTAAAAAAGTTATATTTTTGGCAAATGTAAAGGCCCTTTCACACCAAAAGTGGAATGAATAAGCCCCAGGGCTTAAGGAAATGCAAATTCACATCTGTACAGTGGAGGGCACAGCTCAAACAAACCCCGCAGAGGTTTGCATAATATTCTGAGTTGGCATTTCACTGTTTTTATTTATTTTGATGAATATTGAATCTGTTTTTGTGCAAGTGAGATGAGTAAATACATGCTCACATTGGTCTAGAACTACAATAAGCATCATGTTAACACCACGCACACAATGCCTCTGCACTCACTCCCGATTACTCTCAACATGAGGACAAGAGAGCAGTCAGTCAAGAAATGGAAAACAAAGTGACGCGTTACTTATTTGTAAAAGTAATTCAGATATTTTGTTGTAGTTTCAGAAAGACTGTATATCCCGCATGGATGATTTTCACCTCCAACATAAACTATGCTTAATTCTTTTTAAAGATACACATGCATCAGCATTTTTATGTTTATTTTGGATCTGCAAAAGATGCAAGCCAAATTCAAATTGGCATCACCCATATATATACAGGCATCTCTTATCTAGAATTTGAACATGTGCTTCACATTGTGACCAAATCGGTTAGCATAAAAAGGAAGAACTCGATGTACTTTTGGAAAAAGGTTTATTGTGAAATGACTGTGTGAAAATTGGGATGGGGGAATATTGGCAGCCTGGCCACAGCAATGTCATGTGCCTTTAACACACAGCTGGCGGTGCTGTTGTAACCCTGGATGGGTGGAGAAAGAGGAAACCAACCCTCACTTCGTGAGTGGCCTTTTCCTTCTTCCCCGGTCTCCATCCCACTGTGGACAGCCGCCCCGGGCGGAACAAGAAGGCAAGGAGGGTCAACTGCATGACGGTGTAACTTCCAAAAAGGTGGGCGAGAGGGGAGAAAACAAATAAAGGGGGAAAAAAACCAGAATGGTTTAGAAGTGACATCCCATAGTCATTTTTATTGATTGGTCTTCGAAACAGAATGGATGTCTTGACACCATGGGGTCTGCAGATATATTTCAGCCTTCTTCACCACTCCCTCAACCGAGGGCCTCTTACACGGACAAGATGTGCTTGACGAAAGCTGTAAGAGGAGAAGACGACATGCATAAGGAAAGATCATCCCTACTGGCTCGCCATACAAGGCCTGAGGTG